CCCCAAAACCCCAAAACCCCAAAACCCCAAAACCCCACGACATCTTCATTCCTAAAATTTTGATAAATCATTCTCAAATAATATCAAACATACTTTTAATAGCTTATTTATTTAAAAAAGCAACATTATTTAATAAAGTGAACGAATATTCTCATAAACTCTCATCCACCTTTTTCTCCTCAACTTTAGGTCTGAATATATCACTAATATTGATATCAGGTACTGCCGTCTTAATATACTCTTTAGTCTTCATGCTTTTAAAGTCTGTGTTTCTGATGCGAGTCATTGTTTTCATTATTCTGTCTCTTTCCATTTGCTGCTGAATGGTAAGCTCAGCTAGACTCTTCTTAATAGTATTTTCCTCAAACTTAATGAACTACACTCTCTCCTCATTCATCTTTTCCTTCGCTAGAATCTTCAGCTTTTTCCACTCTATCTTTCTGCGCTCTTTGTCAAGATTTTTTTAGATCTATAGTTTCTTGTCCTCGTCATTTTTTTCTCTTTCAGCTTGAGATTTATACATATTCTCTTCTTTTTGACTTGTAAGATTTTCCATGCTAGATCTGAATTTAGAGTTAAGATCCTTTATCTTTCTCTTGTCGTCAATTAATTGAATTTACTTATTCTGCATTGTTTTTCCAAATCTTTTCTCATTTACTAGCTTATGATGATCAACTTGTTCTTTGTCCTTTGTCTGCTTATCAGTCCTAACCTTCTCAATTTTCTGAATCTTGTCTAAGTATCTGTTCTCCACTTCTATCTTCTTTACAACATCTATAATCTTTAGTAATTCAAGTCTTTCCAATATATGATCAGTGTATTCCTTTGCTTGTGATTTTTTTATATTGACGATTTCTTTAAGTTTATCTTCCCTTTCCTTATGAATTTCTTCAAGTTTTTCAAGTTTTGACAATAATTTTTCCTATTCTTCCTCCTCTAACCTCTGTCTTTTAAGCTCAATCTCTCTTTGCTTTTATTTCTCTTTATCTGCTTTATCTAAAGCTTGCATTCTCCTCAACATATCTTTTTCTCTCTCCTTCTATTCAAATTTTAATGCCTACTCTGAAAGTTTTTTCCTCTCCAATTCGAATTCCTTTTCTCTTTACCTTTCCATTTTCTTGGCATTGTCTCGCTTCATCTATCTTTGTTCTTCTTTTTTCGCTATCATCACTTTCCTTTCTTTTTCTTTTAGTTCCTCCTCCTCTGCAATTTTCTTTAGCTTTTTCTCCATTTTTTCATTTTCATCTTGTTTTTTTTTCTCTCTCTCTAGATAATGTTTTACATCCAAGTGCTGCTTCTATATGTTTGTCTTTGCCCCCATGATTATACGTCCAAATAGTTATGCTTTGACTGATGTTGGATCATTGATTAAGGGAAAACCTTATGATTTCAAAAGCTGTCTATTAGAAGAAAGAGTTGAGAACCCTCCTTGACCATACATAGTAGGTGGAAGGTTTTAGTTAAGGCGGAGATCTGCCATAGACTTAGGTCTCTTCATTTTTAATTCAATAACGATTATCTTAATATATTTTAAAATTCTTCTTTACTTTTACTTAAGATGAACAACGGGGTTTTGGGGTTTTGGGGTTTTGGGG